TGTACATGCATGTATATATTTGAAAATATGTTAGTGGCCCTGAAGACAAATGGGAAAACACAACAGTAATTAATAAAACCCACTGACAAATCAGATGAGAAAAAAAGACAGGAAATCTAAATCATACAGTTTGTTGTATCAGAGACGATTCTCGTCAACAGCAGTGTTGTTGTGTTGCTGTCTTGATATTTGTAATAACACAATTCTCCCAAATCAACCGATAAAGTTGATACTGAAGGTCATCTGAGTATTCCTCAGGTGTAACCTGCCTCTCGCCCACTGTCAGGGGCCAAGTAATAATTGTTTTTATTATTATTATCATCATTATTATTTAATGTTATGGTCCATTTCATGACAGATGCTTTTTGTCTTGTTAACTTCAATGTTTTGGTATCATTCTGCTTTTCCGTCTCTGGAAGAATCTTTATTTGTTTAGGGATGCAAAAACAAATTCCTATTCAGTTACTGAGCAACCGTTACAACGGTCAGAGCAAACTAACCAAGAATTTTTATTGTTAACTTTTATTGGGGGTAAAAGGTGAAGTGGCACCACTGAAAATACAATGTATTTTTTTGGGATATGTGGGATCCTCTTCAAATAATAAAAACCGCAGAGTCTTAATAAAAACCTCTTTTTGCTTGCGAGGGCTACACTTCAGTTTATGGATCATTCATGCAGTGAAAAAGGCCTAAAAGCAAAACAGTGGTGGTGTTTTCAGAGATTAAAACCACACGGCTTCAAGTTGCAGTTCCTCAAGTTGCCTGTGGAGAGCACTTAGACACCATGTTATCTAGTACTCATGCTCTTTCAGTCCACAAACAGGAAACAGCAACAGTGACACAGCCTCAGAAGTGTGTGTGCAGGGAGCTTCATACCTTAAAGTGATTGAAAAGTCCAAATATAAACACACACATGAAAAATAATGCAGATGTTTTATTTCTAAATCTTCCACACTGTTTAAAAACAAAACACCTTGCTCCAAAAAAGTTGCTGAAACCGATCACCATCTATTTTAGACGGCACTGATTCCAACCCCCAGCAATAACAGGTCTGTAGCAGTAAAACTTTGCACTTAAAACAATTTTTTTCTATTAACTTATACTGTGCATTAAAATCATCATTTCAGTTGACAGTACTGCACTTCTGTGGTATTTTATGGTATTGGTGACTTTAATCCTTTTTATTTCCTGCATCCATGACTCCCTGCAGACTGCTGCTGAGGAAATGGTAAACTACTCCATTAGTCCTCTCAGTATAGAGGCATGCAATATTCACTGAGGAAGAGCGACGTGTTTTTCATCCGTCTTCAGCAGGGTTCTTTCGGCATCATGAAAGAAAAAAAAATCAGTTTGATGCAAAATAAAGTCAGCCAAAAAATGTTTTTCATGCAGTAACATATTGCTAATGTGCAGAGAGGCTATTCTCAGGAGTCCGACTTCCAGGAGAAGTGACAGATCATTAGGGCGAGTGGGCCCATTTGAATTCAGACGGCATGGTGTCCTAATTATGCAGACTCAATGACAGTCACTTATCTAAATCCTCTGAGGTGTTAAACAAAGCTGACTCTGCAAATTCACAGTGTTTATGAAAATGCGTGCATGTGACGTTGGCCTAATCAGTCAGCATGTTACTGCATAAAGAGGTGTGTCACAGAATACAGGATGTGCAGAGGTCCGTGTGCAGAGTTGTGTTTTGGATCTGTACCAAATTTCACACACTCATGAATATCAGTTCCATAAATATACCTGGTTGTTTTCATCTCGACTTATTCTCTGAGAAACTGAAAATCTTGACGAATCTCGAAAGGTTAATCTGGATCTGCACCTAAACTAAATAGATTCTCTCTTGGGGCACGTTCCATCCTTCCTCCAGGTTACATGGTGTTTTTTAAGTTGTTTTTGTTTACTCTTGCTTACAAACAAACAAGCAAACAAAGGTTTGGAGGTGAAAACATGAGCTTCCTTGTCTTTTAAGCCCAATAGTGAAACAAGCGAAGGCACATTTTAGCAAAATGATGAAGGATTTTTTAAAGGGATGATTGAGAAAAAGTCAAAGAGCTAAACAAAGATGAGTAAAGTCATTAAACACGACATCTGGATCATCTGGATTCAGTTTTTCAAGTCTCTCTTTCACAGTCCATCCTCCCAGAGCAGAGATGCACAATGTTTCTGGTCTGATGAACGTGCAGCATCCTTAGCGCAGCATGCAGCCAGGCAGGAGTAACAATGGGAGCTGGAGCGGCACTAAGCTATTAATGTACAGACTAACTGGGGAGGAAATAAGTAGTTGGTTTGATATCGTCTGGTCTGAGAACAGCCACGGGGCAACAAGAGCCTGAAATGAAAGATGATGAAGACGAGCCCTCTTCCCTCCTCATGCCAGTCCACCACCACTCCGGCTGCCTGAAGCCACTGGCTGACAAAGTTTGGTTTACAGCATGTTGTCTGAATGCAATAATGCAGAGATGCAATTAATGGTGCACACAGTGAACAAGCAAAGTGCAATTAAACCTTCTGTTTCTCAGAAATGTGTCGGCTTGCATTTCTTTTCAGGACATTTTGAAAACGCCTGAAGCTTTTCAGACACTTTTTCATACTGTTTCTAAACCGTTGCACGCTCCATCAGAGCACAGTCTGTAGGACGAGCTTTAAAAGGGCAGAACACCTGCAGGAGGGTTTTCATCATACACAGAGTCTTAACCTGTTATCATCATTGGAGGTTATAGTTTCATGTCCATTAGTTTGTTGGTTTGTTTGAAAGGAAGATTACGCAAAAAACTACTGCACACGTCAACACAAAACATGGTTTAAGGATGCTGATTTGGTGTGCATCCTGAGATAAGGCAATATTCAATATTCAATATTTTCCTTGATTTCTCTGACAATAATTCATGGAGCTTGATGACAATAATCCGCCATGTTTTGGAAATAGATATTTATTAATTTATTCAAACAGATATTTATGCAAATTTTATCCAAACACAAATTAAACCTAGTGAGTTTAAATGTGGTCATTAAAACATTTATAGAAAAAAATATAAACTTTATTTGCAACCCTGACAATGCATTTCCAGTCAAATATCATTTTATCAATCATAAGAGAAAATATTTGTGTAATCCTAGCATCTCAGTGAGTTTTAGAAAATGTGCTGGTCAAAGCTCATATAAGAAAGGGTGAGATCTCATAATTATAATTCATGATGAAGGAACCGGCTGCTTGTGTTAGCCGTCGAGTCCAGGTCAAGTGTTTGCTGTGAGGCAGGGGGAACTTACCCGATGCTAGGGATTCTCAGTTACCTTAAAATAAGCATCAACCTCCAGACACAGTGTCAAATAATGTCCAACAGTTTGAATTACCATTGCAGCGATGCATGCAGCATTCATCCGTGTTCAGTGAATACTTCTGTATTGTCGTGCCTTCTCTTATCGGTGGTCTGCCTCCACCAGCCGAGGTGTCTTTACTTCTATTTTATTTCCAGTCCATTCATTAAAAGGCCCAATTTGATGGAGACAAAAACATCCCATTACTGTGCAGATAATGTCAGTGGTGGCTGTCTCTTTAATGCCTGATTTGTCTTTGTGTTCGTGCCTCCATGTTGCTTTGTCCTGCCTCCGGTCCCAGTCGGTGCCTGCTTGGCTTCCTGGCCCCGGCTGCTCCAACTGTATTCTCATCTCGCCTTATTTACGTCAAATCACATCCTGTTGAATGGGACCTGCAGAGAGACGAGGAGAGACATAGACGTTGGACATGTCTCCTTATAAGTCACAACCATGGTAGGATCATCATACAAATGAAAAATTATTTTTGTTTCACTCTCACTTTTTTCCTTGCATATTGGATTGTTCAGACAAAAATAAACTCAGTTCACCAGAAACACAAGTAGAAAATAGAAACTAATGATGCTCAGACAAAAGGTTTTATTCAAAGGTGAAATAAATGACTTATAAATATCTTGATGTGATACTGGATTCAAATTTTAGCTCGTTTAAAATCCATAAAGTGCATCTGATCAAACAGAGACTCTCTCCAAGATATTTATTCCTGCTATAATCCTTTCCTACATGTTTTATTGCAAACATGTTGGCAGCCATATGAACTGCTGAGTCCTCAAACACACTAAAAGCTAAATAAGTCAAAAAGCCAATGTACTTCCATCACAGAGAGAAGAGAAGTATAGTTTAGCTTTGAGGATTTCAGATTAATTTAAAATATGTTCTTGGTTTTTATGAAACGTTAAAATGTTTTGGCTCCTCCTCGAACTGCAGATCCTCCAGAATATCGTCTCTATACAAGAATGTATCAACGCTTCATCTGAGCGATCAGTTTCCTCTCGACCAGCAACAAATCAACAACAGGGAGCAGCCTGTCTGGTGACGTGAGGACCTGCTCAGTCAGCACTTTTCAAAACCAAGGTAAAGTCTGCAGAAAGCTGCACAGCTCTGCAGCCACTCTGATACTCAGTCATATGGCCCTGATTTTATTTGAAGCTGCATGTTTCTGATGTGCTTCTGGGTTTCATTTTTTATATTTCTGATGATTGTAGAAAGTCTGTTGCTCAGGTTCACTAGCTTTCCAACCTTAAGCCATTGACACAATGCAAAGCCATTAAGGTAATGATTTAAATGACAAAAACACAAAGGTACCTGTCTGGAATAAAAAGAACAAATAACACTACATCCCTGACAGGCCTTACGCTGCACTGCCACAGGAAAACAAAGAATTAGGGAGGTTGAGCTCTGGGGGAATAGATAAAGAAATAAAATTTAAAGATTCATATTAAAACGAAGGAAAGAATATATGCAAATAAGAGCCGAGTCTTTTTACAGATAAGAGAAAGGAAAAGAAGCGAAATGGAGAGGAGGAAGATGCAAAAAAAACATTTCACATACTGTCTACACACGTGCATTGTGAGTGCACCCGTGAGTTGTGATGGGGCCATTCTCTCCCTGTTCATTACCCAATAGCTCCCTGGATTTCCGGCTGTACACAGGTCATCATCCTGTATCAGAAAATTAGCATTTCAATTACTGTGTTAGGAGGACGGCTGCAGAGCACATCCCGTCAGCCGCCTTTCCTCCCAACCCCACATTTATACACACTAAACCCAGGGATCATGGGAAGGAATGGCAGCAGAAATAACATGGATAATAAATGGACATCACCTGGAGGCTCAGAGAGAGGCCTCTCTGTTCTGTTTTCTGTACGAGCCCAGAAACAGAAATCTGAAACATTTTTATTAAAGAATTGACAGTGGTGTGGTTTGAGGGATGTGATGATGGTGCTGAGTTATGGTCCCGGTTATATCACTGGGAAGCATTGCTTTCATTACATCAACACATTTTTTTTTCTTGTGCACATAAAGAAGCACATTGATCTGTTGTATCCCCTGACACTGGGTTGTGTAATGTAAGAGGCTTTATATTAAAATGGATGTGACTCAGACGATCTCATTACTGAAGCCGTGCTGTAATATTCAAGCCTTTAAATGCTCTGGTCTCAAACAGCATCTCTGACTCATCAGCTGAGGGTTTCTCTCATGTAGCTGCATCACCTCTGACCACAGTGTGCGATGCAGTCATTGGGAGTCTGTCTCCCTCTAGAGAAACGACCTGGGATCAACAAGGCTGATGAAGACGATGAGGACATGATCAGAGAAATCTGTTTCTCCAGCAAATGAATAAATGGCTGTTTTGCTCTGGTGTTGCCGCGGATGCTCAGGAGTGTCACTGTTCTGCCGTGACTCCAGGTTTTATGTTTTCCCCATGTTCCCATTCCTTCGTTCAAGGGCCTTGTGTGAACCTCTCTACTGTCTGAGTGGTGTGTGTGTGTGTGTGTGTGTGTGTGTGTGTGCCTCCACCTGGTTCATTGAGCACACCTGACCCTCATTCATCCTCATCAACCGCTCGACATAAGCTTCAGTGGCCCACTCCTTCGTAGCCCTTTAACTCGCGGAGTCAGTTTGTAATTTTTTGTGGTTAGTCCATTTTGTTTTTGTGTTTTAGTAACTCTACTTTCCTTGTGCCTCGTAGCTTGCCTGTTGCCTTCCCACTGACTCTCTCTCCACACTCACCACGTGGTCATCTCCAGGCTGAATATATATTAATATTTGGTCTGTACGAAATAAACCTTTTCCTCTGTATATTTTCGTGTCTGCTTTTGGGTCCAGCCAAAAACAAAAGTGTAACAAGGAGCCGCTAGCGGTGCAGTTGAGCTGTGTCGGCCTTCATTCTTTTCTGTTACTCAAGGTAGACTCCTGAGCGTAGTATTGTACATTTCTTGCTGTTTTTAAAAAACCATTTGGCCTTCGTTTCAAAAACTAGAACGGCACTTAGTACGGTGCGTTCTTCTGCCAAGGACCAATCAGTCCAGCTGCTCCAAAATTCACACACGATATCCGTTCTCTTAATATGCCTGAATTTATTTTTTCCATCAAATACCCATTAACAAAAAAATGTTAAAAATGTTCACATATCAGCAACATTTTTTATGCTTTTACTACTTGATGCAACAAACTAGAACAATTTGATTGTACCTGAGTATGGTGACATTAAACACCTTAAATCATGATAGAGATTATATATCACAAAAGCTGCTTCTTCTTTCCTGAGTACATTAATATGATGGGAATCAACAACATGTTTCTCTCATACAGGCTGTCACAGAGTTGTCATGACTCCTGCCCCACTTCTGATTGTTTTGGTCATTCTGCTCCTGCCTCCTCATCTGTCAGCACATCAGCTCCCTCTGCAAATACACCAGCCTGGTTTCTCGGTGCTCTCTGGTCCAGTTCCCTTGCAGATGCGCAAATAACTGTGGTGATGAGAACAGATAACCTGACTCGTATTAATGTTAACAAGGAGAGTGAACTTCACAGTCAACTTATATTTATTAATTCCTATATTATATGTTAACCAAGGCCTAGCAGTCCCTTTAAGGAAACCACATTTAAATTCACTAGATCTGCATTTTTATTTGCATGTCAAACAAACTGCACACACTCCTCAACATGTCTGAATTTGTCAGCAGGCATGAATAATTCTGAGAAATAAATTAAAATTTGGAAAAGTTGCATATTTCGCAATGATCAAAAAAAAAGAGAAAATCAATTCCTGGATCTGCCCCCTGACCTGGATCTGCACCAAAATGTAATGGTCACATTCTTCCACCAAGTTTCGTGATAATCTGTCTGATAGTTTGTGTGTGATCCTGCCAACAAACAACAAATGCAGACAAACTAAGGTATAGGTAAATATACAGGAGACCAAACATACATATAGATGTTAAACAATATTAAATCTACTCAATGAAATGTCTATATTTAGAAAGTGTGTAAACGTTTTCACTGTAAAAAAAAAAAGACTTGCTCAACAAACTGACCCACATGACGACTGCTGACTTTCAACCCTCAAGTCAACATTGTGTCATGACGTGTATTATTCTTATATCTTTCCAGAATTTATTATAACTACATTTCTGTTCTTTATTCAAGTGTAAATACTCAACATTGTCATGGAGGAAACAAGTATTTAACAGAACGCAGATTCATTTTTTTAAACAAACATTTTCTGGGATAAGTAGTCATGTGATGAAACCAGCTCTTCGTGTGTATTCAGTCACCGAGCCAAGGGGTGATAGTGGCTTTGCCCTGTCAAGATAGGATCTGTCTCGGGTTGATGCAGCGTGTCTGAATAATGCATCAGAGTCGATGACCCCCCCTTCCTGACCAAGAGATGGACAGAAATAACACTGACGTCAGCCCCGGGCCTCGTGGTGCCAGGCGGCTTGGAGAAGAGGATAGAGAGGATATTGAGTGTGCGTTGCTTCTCAGGGATCAGCTTCACCTCTCAATCCGCCCCGTTTCTCTATGTCGGG